ACCTTATATTTAATGATTCTTAATTTCTCCTTACAATTAACAAAGAGATACTCCCTTTGATCCAAATTATATGCATTTTTTTAACTAATTTTAGTTCAAAATATAAACAACCTATTATATGTAAAAGTATTTTTTTCATTTTAGCCCTTATATTTATTACTTATCATAAAGTATATTATTAATTAAGACTAAGGATAAAAAGAGAAAATTATATATAGTTTTATGAAAATGGATACTTTAATTCGTATGAGAATTTTGCTAAAAACTGCTAATTTGGACCCAAGAGAGTATATATGAAATAATGTAATCAATGCATTGCTTTATTTCTCATAATTTAAACCAAAACAAGCACTACTTGGTCTTATCTTTAAGGATAAAAGCAGAAGTTTATTTTTGGTTAAAATTTCACTTTTTTTATATTTATTAAATGTTAAGAAAAATTATTATTAAAAGTATCTTACTCTTTTCAAATCATAATATAAGATATTTTTTAAAAATTTTATTTAGTCCAAAATAAGGACATTATGTAACTTTATAATTATTTTTTCACCTATACCATCATTTAATTTATTATTCTTTTTAAAAAAATGATGCATTATAATTTTAATTATTATTATCAAAACACTTATATATAGTATTCAATGAAAATAAAATTGAAAAGATATATAATTTTTTAAAAAAATTTAAATTTTAAATAATATTTAAAAATTATAAATTAATTATTAATATTTTATATTTTAGTTGGGTAGGTGTGAGTATAATTTGGGACGATGAGCACTTAAATCTGTAGTAATGCAGAGTAAAAATCACACAAATAAATGTTCAGAAAATATGCCATGATGAAAGAAAGCCAGGTGGCATGGGTTGCGAGCGATGGTTAGAGTCAAAGTACGATAATGTGGGGCCCTCCGCGAAGAGGATCTACTGCACACGACGATACCGGTTTGTACAGTTCTTCCTCATGCCAAGCGGGTCCACTCTAGCCCTTTTTTGCCACGTGGCTCCCTATCCATCCCAGTAATCCTCTCCCAGTATTCTTCCCTTCCTCCCCACTTTCTACGGTTCCCGTGCTTCTCTCTTTATTCTCTCTCTCTCTCTCTCTCTAATTCCCTATCTTCTATCTATATTTATATTTTTTTTTGCTATTTTTATAATATAACATACATATTCCTAGCCAATAAAAATAATTTTTATTTTTTATTAAAAAATATAAGTCATTCTTAACTGAATTTTATCTTCAATAAAATAGTTGGCTATTTTTAAATTAATCATATCTTTTCATATTTACTCTTATTAAATACCTTACAATAAATAGAAAGTTATTATTAATAAAGGCACTTTAAAAAAAGATAATGATTATATCTTAAAAAATTAAAAATACTTTACATTTTCTAACATCTAACCTCTCAAAAAATACCTTATATTTTTAAATAAAAAAATATTATAAAATGAGAAAATATTATTGTGCGTGATGATTGATGTGAAGATTTTTTTTTCCAATAAAAATATACTTAAAATAAAAAACTATGCCAAGTTACTTAAAAAGGAGTCTCAGAAGGAAGAATAACATATAGGTATCAAAAGGATTGATTAATTTAAATTAAATATTAAGTACTAAATTTTAGGAATCAAACAACTTCAATTATCAATTTTTTTTATTTTATTATGATGAATTTATAATTTATTTTTTAAATTTTAACATGAGTAAAGAATAAATAAATTTATTTTTGTTGTTAAAATTTGAAATACAAGTTATAAATTCATTATAATAAAATTGTAAAATTAATAATTGAAGTTCTAGATTTTTAAAATTTAACATTTAAAATTTAATTTAAATTAATGAATCTCCTTAAAACCTCTATGTCTCCCATATGGGAAATATTTAAATAGATAAGAACAAAAGCTGAAGAATATGCTATGAATATCTTTTATTTGTTCAGCTTAAACAAAAAAGAAAAGCAAATCTTGCTGAGATAAATATGCCATTTGCCTTCGTGTTTTGGGAAAAATTAATCTCTATTATCCGTAAAAAGGCTTTTGGTCTTTAATATATATATATATATATATATATAAACACATTGATTTTATAGCATCTCCACTTGTAAATAATAATATAATTTTGGCAAAACAAAATACAACCATCTTTCTCAAATAATTATTATTTAAAGTTATGCATTCACATTAAAAAGATATTAAAGTTTTAAAATAATAAATTTATGACAGTTAAGTTTTTAATTTTTTTTTGTAAAATCAATAGTAGATATTGATTAAATAGTTGCAAATTCAGGAATTTTAAAATAAAATATTTAAGTTCTAAATGTAACTTTCAATTTACAACTCAAATTTTTATTTGCAATTATTTGAATTAATATTTACAACTTTTTTTAAAAAATTTTTTGGCCAAGAACTTAACTATTGTGAATTATTTATTTTGAAACTTTATTGTCATTGTTTCTGTATTTTCCCTGGACCAGTTGCCATTTTTTTCTCTCAAATTATTCTCATAAATAAATAATTTCGTCTTACCATTCATAGGACAATTATGTTCATTAATCATTACACGTCATGTTATTCCATTCTTAGGTTAGGCGGCTAAAAAGTGATTAATTCAATGACTACAAGAATTTTGGTCAAAAAAAAAAAAAGACTACAAGAATTCAACGACTAAGTCTGAAATTAATCAACAGAATTAATTTAATGTATTCCATTTTTCACTTTTCAATAGAAAGTAATAATCATTCATTTTAAAATATAAAAAATTTTCTATTTGTTAGTATTAGTCCAAACGATAATACTTCTTCTATTCAATATTATAAGTACTTTTAATTGGATCATATTTTTTTAATGAATTAATTAATTATATTTAAAATTATACATTCTTTCCACATTCCTCTTTATTTAATAGGATATTTTAATTAGAAATAATTAATTATTACACCCCTAATTAAGGATTTTTTAAAAATCTTACTAATTGTATCTTAAAAAACCTATAATATCTTATATTTCTAATATGATACATTGAAAAAAAAAAAGCTTTATAATTCTAAAGAGGTGGAGGATGCTTGGCAAAATTTCAATAATATTAATTTTTTCTTCTTTATTTTCACAAATGTCCTAAATAATTGTATCGTGGAGAAAAATTATACTAAAAAAATAAATTAAAGATGATTAAGATAGATTAATTTTCAATAGAGTAATTTTAGAAAGAAATTATATTTATTACTATCATTTTAATTTAATAATATCAATAAATTTTAATTATGTTTCTTGATCATTGTGAAATTAGTTAAAAATATTGTCTCATACTTTTTATTGGAGGGAGTAAATACTACTTTCTCAATTCTAAATTATAAGACACTTTTAAATGAAATCTCACATATTAAGAAAGTCTATTAAATATATATATATATATATACATATATTTTTGCCAATAGCTCATCAAATACAGTTTACCATCTTACTTTTTCAAGAAAAAATATAAACTTTTAAAAATACTCTTTATTTAATACATTATTGATAAAAAATATTAAAGAGAGAGATTATATGGGAAGGATAATATTAAAAAATATCATTGATAAAATATTATTTTTATTAAAATTTTTTATATTTTGAAATGTTAAATTTTTTCTAAAGTATTTTATAATTTGAGGTGGAGGAAATATATGCTCCCTCCATTAAAAAATATAAGACATTTTTAACTGAATCTTACTCCAATAAAGTAGTTACCTTCTTTCAAACTAACTCTATTTTTCTGTATTTACCTCTATTAAACACCTTATAATAAATAGAAAGTCACTATCAATAGAATATTTAAAAAAAATAATGATTATATTTTAAAATATTAAAAATATTTTATATTTTTAAATATTTAACTCTTTAAAAATATTTTATATTTTTTAATAAAGGAGTAGCTCATTTACAGTGAACATATTACAAAGGATAACGTTAAATGCTTTTGCTTTTTTGAAAAATAACGAAACGAAAGTCCACTAGCCTATTCAACCAGTGGCAATATTACAATCCTTATCCATATGTTCAAGGTGAAATAGGGTAAAAAAAAAAAACTCCTCTTTTTGTTGCGGGCAAAATAGAAAGATAAAATGTTTGTTTATACATTAAACGGTTTGTTTTTCCTAATGTGTACATCCTCCCATTCTTTTTATAAGATATATCTAACCATCTTGATGGAATTAAAGAGAAGTGATTAAGTTATTAATTTTATTTAAAAATAAAATAATTTATGATTTTTCATATATTTAAATAAAAAAATTAAATTTGCATTACATTATTTTTTATAATTAACAACTTTAAATAAGAATTTTGTTTAAAAGATTAATTAATATCTTATTAAATCACTGACAACAAGAATCACATAAGGAGAATAACATTTGAGGCTCCCTTAATAAGAACCCATCAGTTTTGTGTCAAATATTATCTAGTGAAAAAATAAATATTGTTATTAAAAATTAAACTTTAACTTATTAAATTTTTAAAGAAATATAAAAAACTTTAACCTTAACTTGTTAAACTCTAAATCCCAATCAAAAAAAAAAAAGGTTAAGGCTCAACTTTTAATAATAATACATAAGAGCTTTTGCAAATATAGTTCATATTATATGGTCAAGCTAAGCAAGTTTAATATTTATTATATTTTATATTATAGTTAGTTTATTATACATTATTTATCAATGATATATCATTGAATATCAATTACAAACCTCTTGTATATTGTTAAATTTTTAATAATAAATTACTTATATATTAATAATAAATTTTTTATATATTAATATGAATCGATTATATTGTCAAATTTTTAGAAATTTAGTTTGTATTTTATGGTATAAGATTTGTTTAGCCAGTAAATCAATTTATCCAGATATGAATGTATTTTTATGAGATAATCTCCAATACAAAATTAATGGATCTTTATTACAATCAATTTCCTTGACAAGCCTTAAATGTCATTCTCCCGGTCACATATTCCTTCGAGGAGGTACATGACGAGTTCCATTGAGAAATGAGAATCTAAGTTCGAAGATGAAGGAGGAGTCACTCTCCCATCACTGTTCTGTTTTGCCTCTATATAAACCATTTTATGTTTCGTGCCTTTTGGGTTCAAAGAACACTGAAGACAGTTTAGTTGACACGGCTTTTGTTTCTGCGAGGAGTGGTTGGACCCGAGGGATTGCGACTTGGCGGAAACAAGAGAACTATAAAACCAGACATCCGCAGCTTAATTCTACGACAACAATTGAGAGAGTCTTATATTGCACAAGATCGGCGGCGCCCATTGTCGCTTCTTCAAGAGCTGCTTCCATGTTCCTTCACTGACCACCTTATTGGTACGCTATTTTCTCTGCTCCATCAATGATTATTAGATTTTGAATTATTTTCCTGTAATCTTATTTTCTCTGCTCCATCAATGATTATTAGATTTTGAATTATTTTCCTGTAATCTATTTCCCTGCTTGGTTCCCGAGAAAATGATAACCTCGCCCCCGCTTAAATCCTCCACTCTGTCAAGTAGATGTAGCGACCCGAGTTGGGCTCTGTTTTGCTTCTGGATTAGAAAAAGGATTACATTTTTATTACGAATCTTGAAGTGGGGTATTTCAGATTGTAGTGGGATTTTCTCGCCGCGGAAAAAAAAAAAAGATAGTGGGGCTAGTTCTTGGATTTCATTATTCGCTTTGATCGGATCTCTACTGTGTGATATTCGTTCATTTAAGAGTATTTTGTTTTTGTCAGTATTAGAGGCAGAAAGGAACAGGAGAACAGAGAATATGGCTCTCACAGGTTCAGCATCTAGACAGCCGCAATTCATTTTGAGCACTGGAAACCGAAGCTCTTCCGATGCTCCTCTGATCGAAAACTCAGACACTGAACAAATTGTCGTCCTGATGTGAGTTATCAAACTCCTTCCTTGATTCATCATAGTTTTTAATTTTTATCGCATGTAAAATGATTATTTAAAATTTGTGTGCGAGTTTTCTTTCTGCTGGTTAGGTTGCCATATTGCTGATTTGATAATGATGCTTAGTGATTAGCTGCTCTAAGTCTTTATTCTCTCTGTTTGCTTATGACTAATCTTTTCAGTTACAGTGAAGTTACTTTATCAATGACGTTGTATTTCATGTCATAAGTTCATATGACGGAGTTACAGTGTTAACGGCATAAGTCAACATACAGAAGTGTCATAAGCAACATATGTGTAACACTCTTCAAATAGTTATAAAGCTTGTAATACGAGGTTTATGTGAATAATCAACAAGTAATCAGCCCTGGTAACGGTTTCATAGCAAACCCTTCGATAAAACAAAGAGTGACAGAGTGAAAGACCCCATGAGTTGAAACTTGGAAAACAATATTAAGATGTTAAAGATTCTTTTCTTTTTCCCCTGACATTTTCTTTCAGTTAGTGACAAATTAGAAATTACATTGAATTAAGTCTTGTAGTTAAATTGGTGTCCAAAGCAATTTGCCCAATGACCATGATTTGTGTATGTTTCTCTTCTGCAGAAAACAAGCTGGAAAAACTTATTTGCATATATGGGTCCTGGTTTTCTTGTTTCTATTGCATATATAGACCCGGGAAACTGTAAGAGTTTTCTTTTTCCCTCTTCAAATGGTTTCCTAATCTAATTTAAGGGAAATACATTTCTAAGATATGTTCGCTTATTATGTTCTAATACTAAATTCCAGTTGAAACGGATCTTCAGTCAGGGGCACAATATAAATATGAGGTATCTTTTGGTGGACTTTCTTTCAATTGACTTTTGTCTTTAAATAAGATTAGTGTCTTAGATGATATATATGATGTTAGAATGTTCAACTCACGTATCTTGCATGCATTTTTTTCAGTTACTTTGGATTATATTGGTTGCCTCTTGTGCTGCTCTTATAATTCAATCAATGGCAGCCAATTTAGGAGTTGTAACTGGTACTTGATTTAATCAAACTTTGACCTTTAACCAGACAAAAATGATATATTCATGTATGTTAATGTGCTTTCTTTTTCTCCAATTATTTTAATTGTATTTTCTTTTTGCAGGAAAACATTTAGCAGAGCACTGTAGAACTGAATATCCGCGGTCAACAAACTTCATCTTATGGGTTATTGCTGAAATTGCCATAGTGGCTTGCGACATTCCTGAAGGTAATTTAATCTTGTGCAGCTGTTAAGAATGCTTCAAAAGAAACAATATTTATCTAAACATGTTCAGTAACCAAAAGTAATGGATGAATTGAGCTACCTATATCATACTTATGTGGAGAAAATAGCAATGAAATAGGTGGGTGAATTGTGATCTTGTGGAACACAAATTACTATTTCCTCACTGTCTTGTCTATCTAGGACGTATATTTATATTGTCTTGCTTTTTACTGTGTATATGCAGTGATAGGAACAGCCTTTGCATTGAACATGCTCTTCAACATACCTGTTTGGATTGGTGTTCTTTTAACAGGGCTCAGTACATTGATCCTCTTAGCATTACAGCAATATGGGGTAGTTTTTTATTCAATAGCCCCCCGCCCCCGTGACTGTTTGACTTCATAGGGAGAATTTTGCATGCTGAACAAGTCCATGGTTGCTACTGCATGGATAATTAGGCAACGTCTATATGAGATCATCATGAGCTTCTTTTTTTTTTTTTTTGTGGTGTTGTTTAACAGGTGAGGAAACTTGAATTCTTGATTGCATTTCTGGTGTTTACAATTGCTACGTGCTTTTTTGCTGAACTTGGGTATGCAAAACCTGATGCCAAAGAAGTTCTGGAGGGTCTTTTTGTACCAAAGCTCAAAGGGAGTGGTGCTACTGGCCTTGCAATTTCACTCCTCGGGGCTATGGTTATGCCGTATGTCCCTTGCCTCTTATGCAGCCATTATTTTTTATCTCCAATTTAACAATACACTCTCATGTCCATGTATTTGTGTTAGGCACAACCTCTTCCTCCACTCAGCACTGGTGCTTTCTAGAAAATACCGCGATCAGTTCATGGAATCAAAGTAAACATCTACTTTCATATATGAATTCTTTAAATCTTATTGAAATTCCTAGCTTTAGTTAGAGTGATTCCTTCTAGAAGTTTTTCCTGCTCAGATCATTGATTTAAAAATCAGTGTATAATTATTGCACATATGGTTGCTTCAGAATCCATGCCAGAATAATGTATTTTTAACTCTGATCCTTTATCCCCTATGTTACTTTTTTCGTGTTATTCTTGTTGCACAAACCTCACAAATTAATATTTTATTATATGGATGCCTTTCTTTTCTTTATTTATTTATTTTTTTTTTTTTGCCGTGCAGTTTTCAGAACAAGATTCTTCAATGATATTTAAATTAAATAGCTGTGCGTTGAAATATGCCTTACGCTAGGAATATACTTAATCACTGATGCCGTTTAATCTAAAAGATTGAAGCATATTGAAAGTTGAATTATTCTTTGGGGTTAGCTTATCAAGGTCTGCTACTATTTTATCTATGTGAATGTTAGAAGATTAGATATAATAATGTCTATCATAATAAAGTAGCATCTGATACTATTCTGTTTCCTTTTTTGGGCTAAATTTTTTGTTTGACAGGAGGCTTGCAGATTTTACATGATAGAAAGCGCCTTTGCTCTTATGGTGGCTTTCCTCATAAATGTTTCTGTCATCTCCGTGAGCGGTGCAGTTTGCAATTCTTCGAATTTGAATGTAGAAGATCAAGAGAACTGTCAGGATTTGGACTTGAACAAAGCCTCCTTTCTGCTAAAAGTATGTGAAACACAGATAAGCCACTAGTGATTAATTGAAAATTATAGTGTATGTTACGGATAAACACTGCAGTTTTCCAATCCTATTAAACTTTTGAGAAGTAGGCATATATTAGATTTGTCTTTCAATCAAAATAGCTTAAGCCTTAATCTTATATACCTTCAATTCATTCTTTAATTAATCAATGTGGGACTTTTTAATATATTCTAACATTCAAACTTGATGCATAAATTTGGCCCCCAAAAAAAACCAAAAAAAAAAAAAAAAACGACACCTTGATACTTAAATGCTGTTAGTGGTGTGCTGATTAGAGTTTTCGATGATAATTTCTGATACGTGTCATGCACAGAATGTATTGGGTAAATGGAGTTCAAAACTGTTCGCAATCGCTTTGCTTGCTTCAGGTCAAAGTTCTACTATAACAGGAACATATGCTGGGCAGTATGTCATGCAGGTACATTGTTGATGAACATGACTTGCATTACAGTAAGCATTGACTAAAGCGTTGTCATATTGTGCCAATTCTTGATTGATTACCCCAAACCCCCCCCACTTTTTCAGGGATTTCTTGATTTACGACTGAAACCATGGATTCGAAATTTTTTGACTCGTTGTTTAGCCATAGTTCCGAGTTTGATTGTTGCGGTCATGGTGGCTCTGCTGGGGCAGGGAAACTTATAATTATTGCATCAGTAAGATATCATTTTTATTAATTTCTCTAGAATAGTTTTCTTTAACTCTCCACATAGAAATATGATGGTCTTTGCCATAGCCATACTTTGTGCTAAAGCCTTATTTGTCTGTTTATCAGATGATCTTATCATTTGAGCTTCCTTTTGCTTTGATTCCACTCCTCAAGTTCACTAGCAGCAAAACCAAGATGGGCGCTTATGCCAACTCGTTCACGGTAAATTATAGTAAATTTTACTGGCCACAGTAATTCTTGAAGTGAATGAAATAGAAAGCATGCTGCTGAATCGAAGGGCCAAACTTGCTGGTACTTAGCACCTTGTTCTGACTCATTCTGGACTGACTTTCAGTTCTTGAATTGCAGATTTCAGTTGTGACGTGGATCATCGGTTCGTTCGATAATGGCAATAAATATATACTACTTGCTGACAGGGTTCATCAAGTTGCTTCTTCACAGTGACATGGAAATTGTGGGTAAGGTGTTTGTGGGGATGCTAGGGTTTTCAGCCATGGCAGTATATTTGGCTGGGATTGCTTATCTGGTGTTTCGCAAGAACAAGAAGGCAACACACCTTCTGGCACTAACAACACCTGAAAGTAGGCAAATGGAAATGAACAAGGCAATGGATCAATGTATTGCCTCCCTAGAGAAGACATAGTTAGCATGCAATTGCCTCAGAGAAGTAACTTAGCTGATCTTTGACTTGGAAGTTTTTCAAAAGCAACATAGATTTCTGATATAGAATTTAGTTTGGGGCATTCACTAGAGTAAGATTAGTGGTTTTAGTTCCTGGAAATTAGGAACGTGCTTAAGTAAGACTATGTATCACTTGACTTGGTTCATATATATTAAGTAATGCACATCTTGAATCCTTGTTCTGGTCTCTTTTCTAAAGAATTGTGTTTGTGACAGAACAATGTTGGTCAAAAATAGAAAACAAATTTTGGGATTTTATTGCTTTTTTTTTTTAAATATTCATGAGATTTGATATAGTTTTAAGTTGGATGTCGAAGACATAACATAATCTTCTTTCTTTATCTAGATTTGGGACTAGCTAATGAGCTTAAAGATGAGTTTTTATTGCACTGGTATAAAGCTAGTCATGTTATATGGTTGTGAATGTTACATTTTCAAGGGACAATGACATAAAGTTAGAGGTAAAAAAAAAAAAATGAGGATGTTGGCGTGGGTGCATGGATATTAAAAAAAAAAATTGGGATGAGCATCTACAGCAAAAAAATGAGTATAGAATCTATTGAAAAAGAAAATAGTAAAAATTGTTTAAGATAATTTGAACATATATAAAGGTTATAAGAGGCGTAGTGAGAAAAGTAAAACAAATAGTCTTAAATAAAGAAGAATGTTGAAGAATAAAATTGATGCATATTTCATGAGAGGGGACCTATTTATAGGGAAATTAATGAGAAAAATAAAAGGCCGCTTACTAAATATTAAACATTAATGAGATGTAATGATAGTTTGATGCTATGCCTTAGCACTTAAGATAGTGCAACATTCATGACCACCTCAATAATGATAGAAAGTGGGAAATAAACCAGCATAAATGACTTGAGTGAAGTAGTGCAAAAGCCAAAAACTTCATTGCATATCAAAAAGAACACTTAAAGAAATTGTTAAACTAATTTTTTTTTTGTTTAACAACATATCAAAATGCTTGGTTGTTGATAGAGTAGAATAATATTTTTCACCGAATAAGATAAAAACTTCTTGTTGTATAACTTTTAAAATGTAAAGGTAAATTTTTTTGGGATAAACATAAAGAGTAGGTTTCACCGATAGTAAGAAGTATCTTTCTTGAATATCAAGAATAAATGATAGACTTTTTTCAACTAAATTGCCACATACTCCCTCCAGTCCCATTTATAATTCACATTTTAAAAGGTCTATTTGTTTTCATTTATAAGTCACGGTGCGGTTTTTCAAATAATATTTTAAATGTATTTTCAAAATTACTCTTCATAAAAGAGAGAAAGTAATATGACATTATTTTTTAGATTTGTTATATAGGGATATATTTAAAATTGTACATACTTTTATTTTTTGTATTTTTTTATATTTATATTGATAAAATTGTTAAAAATAATTTATAAAGAAGATCTGAAGAATATGAAGATTGAAGTTTGAATTTTAAATTATTTATTTAAGTGATGAAAGCATCTAGTGATTATGCCAACTTTAGTTGGTAAAAAGGTAAATGCATTGAGTAATAATTAGGAACACCTAAATAACGGGGGAATGAGAAATTCTTTTTCTTTCCGCTAAAGAGACGAGGCTGGGGCTTCATAGGACATCCTGCTCCAAAGCAGAGACTGGGGAGGAAAGTGAGAAATGGAATCGGAGAAAAAGCAATGTGAAAGCAAAAATGCCACTGCCCTTTCTTCAGAAAAGAGTGGAAAGAATGAATCCACTTGGCACGGCCAGCAACGAAATAAAATTATTGAAGAAAAATTTTCCCAGACTTTTTTTTTTTTGGGACGAACTTCAATTCATTTGTAAACTTTTTTTTAAATAAATTTCTTAAAAAAATATTGGAAAAGCAATCAGCCGTGTAGTTTTATTGAATTTTAATTTTAATCCTGTAATTTTTTATTATTTTCAATCCCTACATATATATTAAGATTGACCGCGTTTGTTCCTTATATCCTTAAGGATGTTAAATTATAAAGATTATAAGTACTAAAAATATTAAAAAATATAATAATTAAAAACAAAAATTGATAACATTATAGAAATAAATTATTGCATTTTTTTAAAAATATTTAATCAATCGTTATATTTTCAGAATTAAGACATTTATTTTTCTTTCCTTCCCATTAAAAAAGCTGTAACGTAAATTCTTCCATTTTCTCTTCAAATGAACGAGAGTTATAAAGATTTACATCTTAAGAAAGATAAGCATAGATCAAAAAATGTTAGCCTAGTTGATTAAAAATTTGACCCATAATTTGTATGATTGTGAGTTTAAATTTTGCTCTTAATACTACTCTGATCCTATTTATAAGTTACTTTCAATATATTTTACCAGTACCAAGAAAAATCTTATAATTCATTAACTCTGTTTTAAAATTTAATAAGTTTTCAATTTTGTTTCTATTAAATATACACACTTCAATAACATATTTTTTCTTTTCAACATTCAATGGAAGGTAAAAAAAAATGTATGATAAAAATTTAATGACATAACTTATAAATAGGATTAAAAAAAATTATTCACTCTACCCTATAAATAAGACCAGAGGGAGTATGAGAATTTTATCGGGGAGCTATTTTTATAAACACTATTTGAGTTTAAAGACATGTCAATGAGCTATCAGGACTCAACTTATTTAAACTATCACTGTTAAAAAAAAATGGTGTGTATAGACAAATTTCCAATAATTTAGTTTAATTATAAGTTGTTTGCTATAAAATATTTCCTTTTGACTTATTTATTAAAACTAGTAACTTATTTGGATGCGATTAAAAGATGCGCGGAGCTGTTATTGCTAGTTATTTCACAAACTAAGTTTATGATTCCAGAGAAGTTAATAGCCATTCCGAAGATAATGATGATTCCCATGTTCATTGATCTAGTAGTTCATATAATATTGTTTATAGTTGAATTGATTTTGATGTTTCTATCTTTATCTCCCTTCAAGAGAGATATTTAAACACAACGTGAGGTAAGTCCATGTTCAAGCCCCACAAGTAATCTTTAGAGCAAACTAATTTGGGTTACGTGCAAACTAAAGTTGTGGTCTTGTGGACAATGAACTCTGGGTTTTATAGCCTAGATAGATAAGAAAATTGAAAGATAACGTAACACGTGAGGTGATAAGACGAAGTTATAAAAAGAAAAAGAACAACATGGAATTAAATATATTGATGTTACAAGTTTTACACAGGAAGAACCATTAGAAGGAAATAGTTGACTGATACCGATGCAGATATCCAACACGTTCACAATTCTATCTTAAATATCTTCCATAGCTTCATAAGGACCCACCTTGCTAAAAACTGCTTCTCTTTATCTTTAATGATGGTAATAATGATAATAATGATACTACTACATAGGAACTAATCACTCGGTAACTAATCTTCATTCTTGAGGCTAGATGTTTAGGATTTAATCTGAGCAGATTCTGCTTGCTTGTCGGGGGGAGAAAGATGGCCCTTGTCCTGCAGGCTCTTGACAGTGTCGTATAAGCACTGATGCACTGGGGTAAACTCCAACCCTAAATCCTTCAATTTCTTGTTAGAGAATATGTAGGGTTTTGCTCTTGGATTCTTCTCGTCTGAACATCTGCTTGAACCATATATATTTATGGTTAAATTCAACAGTGTCAAAGTTTACAAGGAGAAAGCACAAGCATGTTGTGCTGATGTTCTTAGGAAACAACCAAAAGCTAATTGACCCCTTCAATGATAGAGTCAAAATTAAAGTAATAATGAAGAAACACGCAGGCCCTTTGGAAGGACCAGTGGCCTCTTCTTTTTTTCCATCCTCTTCTCTTCACTTCCCCATTCCTCACCCCTCATTAATTCTATAAAAATGATGTGAATGGTGAGGATCAGGAAAGTGCAGGGAGATAGATGTTAGAGTGGAAGACTCTCGAGACTTGACAACGACATTGGGTTAGGTAAGGACCAATAGGCACCATTCACAGGCTTCTGATTTTGAAACTCAATCGTAGATCACATGACTAAAATCAAGACAAAGTTGGCATACCAAATGGACCCCCATTTCTACGTAATATCCATCTCCATTTTTTTTAAATGTTTTCAAAATCCGAAAGTCAAGACCAAAAGAAACAGAAAAAAAAAAACAAAAAGAAAGAAAAGAAAAGTCATTCATGTAGGCCTATCACTGTTCAACGTTTGGTTTCTCACCTAATTGATGACAGGAAAGCCAGAGGATGGCTGCTTATCAGGTGGCGAGTCATTTTCCAACTACCCCAGATGGGATATCCCAATATTCCACAGTGCAAGAGATGAAGGTTACTTCCTTACAAATGAAAAAAAATGGGGCCTAGTGTTACATCCTAAATTATCAACTCAATCTTCCTCCTTGCACAACTACCACTTCTCATTGTTTGCCACTTCAACCATAAAAGTTTTCAAGCGTTCTTAAGAGTTCCTAGTTATTAGGACAAAAACTGAGTGCTTCTGTTGCTCGTAGTAGAAATAAGGAACACAAGATAATCTGTGACATTTCTGAATACAAATTAACTTACTTGGTAGGAATTGGGTAGTCTGGGAAGTACTTGGCCAGGATCTCAACCAGTTCTCCACGGTGGAGTGAACTCTCAGAACATAAAAAACGACCAGAAGCAGAAGGGGTCTCAAAAACCAGAATATGGGCTAATGCCACATCCTTAACATCAACATAAGCCTGAGTGGCATTTGCATAGGTTTTAGCTGAGCCAGTGAGATACTTGAGTATGTGAATTGTGCTAGCATTTATGGTGGATTGGAGCAATGGTCCCAGCACCAAAACTGGGTTCACAACAACTAAGTCCACCCCTCTTCCTTTTGCCTCATCCCATGCTGCCTGCTCTGCCACTGCCTTCCCATAGCAGTACCAGTTCTACAAAATTCATACCCCTCATTATATATCAGCATCACTAAAATTTCCCAAAAACCACATGAGAACAAAACCCATTAATTCCAAACAAAACGCAAGTAAGGGCTTGCACATACTTTATGGTTTTAATGCTTCTCTAGTTTCAGAATGAATACAAGGGCCATTTATTTATGATTGACATGAGATGGGGGTAGGTGGAATACCTTTGTGTTCTTGCAATATTCCAAATCGCTCCAGCAAGACTCATCAACCACCATGTCAATGCTCCTATTGGGGTCCATGTAAACTGCCCCAATGGATGATGTGAACACTACTCTTCGCACATTTGCTTCTGCAGCCGCTATGATCACATTCTTCGTTCCATTCACTGCTGGCTCCACCATCTCTTCCTGTGTCATTCCACTCTCGTCGTTATTGACGCCTTCATTAAATGCTTTTTTATTTAACTTGGCAGGTTCAATCATGGTTTATTCAGAGATGAGATTTTATATATTTGTTTTCCTAATGCGAATATCTTTTTGGATGGAGAAGATTTTCTATCCCCATGAGAGAAAAGATTAGTGGCGGGACCCTCCAGGCATCCAATTATGAAGAGAAGTGATTACCGACCCACCGATAATAATAATAATAATAATAATAATAATAATAATAATATCACATTACCCCTACAATGCACGCGATTTTGTTTTTGTTCTTTCCCACCCACTTTCTCGCCACTCAAGCGGCAAAACCGTAAGAGAAAACTGATACGAATTATAAAGGTAAACAGAAGATAGAGAGAGACTCACGGGATTGTCTGTGACGGGAGACGCCGTGTGAATGACACCGTGACAGCCATCAACGACAGCTTTCACGGACTCAAGATCGAGAAGATCAACCTTATGAAGAGTTAGCCTCTCCTGTGCTCCATCCAACTCTTTCAGGTGCGCATTCTTAGAATCATCTGATCACCAGATTGATTTCACAAAACCAAAAATTAGTCTTGAGTAAACAACGTAAGAAAACGAATTTTGATTTCCATAAATACATCTGAGGGATCATTATAATAAACCTGGATTCCTGACGGTGCCTCTAACAGTGTAGCCTCTCTCCAAGAGAAGTTTGACGATCCAAGATGCGATGAAGCCACCGGCTCCGGTGACGCAGATGGTTTGGCCGGAACCTGAAGAGGCGGCGGCGGCGGGCATGGTGGCTAGTGTTTGATACAGCAACAAAATTGGAATGGAAACGAAAGTATTTGATACAGCAAAACAGCAAACGTTGGAAAAGAAGAATCCTTTCTCTTCTCTCTCTGGGGTTGGTGAGGACGTTAGAGGGCGGAGAAGATGATAATATGGCTTGACGAGAGGAAGTGGAAACAGAGCATGGCGTTTTATAACCCAAAGAGCCTGCCAGACCTCACCAACCACATTATAAAAGCTCAAATAAATAATACTCTTTGTCCCCACAACTTTTTTTTATCAGTATTATTTTGGGCACTCTCTCAAAGGTCAAAATTTTATTCATCAGTAGCTCTTAATACAGCATACTTTTTTGATATACAGACTTTTTCCACATTTTTGTAATTATTCTTATTATTTTGTGGTCTTTTCTTTTTCCTTAATTAATTTATAATAAATCAATATTAATATTATCAAGGCCTATATCAATCAATATTTTTTCTTGTCCTACTTATAAGATAAAGTTTTGAAATTTTATTTCTCAATATATGACAAATATATACTTCCTTTCTAATAATATAAGTAATCATTAATTAATTTATATTTTTTTAAAAACTTAGTTAAAATATTAATTTTATAAAAAAATTTTACATCTTTTCAAAAATGTCTTTGATTGAAATAAATATCTATTTAACTTATTTAAAATATCGTGATTAATTATTTAAGTGGAGTATAATAAAGTCAGGATGTAATTGAAAAAATATGTAATATATTGTGGTTTGAAAAAAGTAATAATTAATTTTTTTTAATATCATCCCTCCTTGATTGCATTAAATTATAATTCTTAGACAACTCTATTGTGATAAATTATACTGAATGACAAAATTAAAAATTTATATATTACGTTTGTTTTCAAATATTAACAAATTTTAACCAATTTACATAGTTTAAAAAAAGGCATTTAATTATAATACTTATGTTTAAAATTGAAAAGGTTAAACTAAAATTCTTTGGAGTCCACACAACGTAGTAAGGTCTCATCAAAATTTCTCTTATATAGGATATCATTGTTGATAAAGAAACCCAAGGAGGATCTTCGTATGCTTTTCTTTTCATTGTGGGTGGCATCAGTGGGTAAGTTCTATGTTTCATATAGGTTTTGATGTTATAGTACCACGAGCGATTCTCAACTTGTTGACATTCAAGCAGAATGAGGGTGCTTTCTAGCTTCAATCTGGATAGGCTGAATATGGACACCGCAATAGAGTTGAATCATAGCCGTCGAGGTAGCTAAGGTGTCGGCGAAGCGATTTTTGTCCCTAGTCATATGGTAAAAGTTGATTACTTCAAATTAGTTAATCATCTCCATCAAATACTCTTAGTAAGGGATCAATTTTGAATTTTTAGTCCGCCATTTACCAATCACTTGATAAATTATAAAGGTAAAGTCACCAAAAACTTCCAAATTCTTTATACCTAGATCAATGGCGGCTTGTAGATCATTAATGCAAGCCTCATATTCTGCCATATTATTTGTACAATGAAATTTCAACTTGATAACGATTGGGAATTGCTTCCATTAAGAGATAAAATTACTACTCCAATGCCATTCTCATACATATTAGCAGCACTATCAAAATACATCTCCCACTCACTTTCCTTGTAGTTTTCTTGGGCTTCCGCTATAGTGCATATATCTTTATTTGAGAATTGAGAATTTAATGGCTGACATTCATCTAAAGGATTTTTGGCCAAGTGATCATCTATGGCGCTTCCTTTAATAGATTTTTGAGTTAGATATCCTATGTCATATTCAGATAATATCACCTGCCATTTAGATACCTTGCCGACCACATATGGGCTCTCAAAAATGTATTTGAGTGGGTCTATCCCAGAAATCAACCATGTAGTATAATAGAGCATGTATTGCCTCAGCCTCCTAGTAGCCCATACAAGACCGCAACAAGTTCTCTCTACCATTAAATAATGAAATTCACAATCATTGAATTTCTTGCTCAAGTAATATATGGCTTGTTCTTTCTTTCTAGATGCATCGTGTTGTCCTAACATGGCCCCCATCAAAATGGGACGTATTGTTAAGTAAAGGATTAGTGGTCACCCTGGGGTAGGAGGAATTAGAACTGGAAATTTAATAGATAGTGTTTAATCATATCGAATGCTTGTTAACAGTGATCGTTCCATTTTTTGGTGTTGTTCTTTCTTATAAGTTTGAATATTGGTTCACAGGTCGATGATAGATTTGCAATAAATCGTGCAATGCAACTTAACTGCTCTAATAAACTTCAAATTTATTTTTCTATTTGAGGAGGGACATTTTTTGAATTGCTTTCACTTTATCAGGGTCTATTGCAATATCTTTTTGACTCACAATAAATCCTAGTAATTTATCGAATAATGCCTCAAAAATGCACTTGTTTAGGTTTAATCAGAGTTTATATTTATGTAGCCTTTCGAACAATTTTCTAAGTACCAATACGTGACTTTCACTCTTCACAGACTTAGCTACCATGTCATCCACGTATATCTCAATCTCTTTATGCATCATATCATGAAAGAGTGCTATCATAGCTCGTTGATAAGTTGCTCCCGTATTCTTTAATCTGAAAGGCATGACTTTATAGCAATAATTCCCCATTGTGTAACGAATGTAGTCTTCTCTTTATCTTTATCATTCATGGGGATTTGGTTTATCCAGAGTACCATCCATAAATGAATATCTATGGCTACGTGCAGTGTTATCAACTAGTATGTCGATATGGAGCAATGGGAAATCATCTTTTGGACTAGCCTTATTTAAGTCGCAATAGTCGACGCATATTCAAAAACAACCATCTTTTTTTAGAATGATGATAACATTTTCCATCCATTGGGGGTGCTTTGCCACTTCTAAGAAACTAGCTTCCAATTGTTCTATTACCTCTTCTCACACGACGAGGGACATGTTTGTCGTCAACTTTCTTAGTTTTTGTTTCTTTGGCTTGGAGTTAAGGAGCAAAGGAATTCGATAAGATGCTATCTTTAGGTCAAGGCCTGGCATATCTTGATAGGACCATGCGAACACATCTAAGTATTCTTTAAAAAATTCAATCATTTGCCCCCTTTCAGGATTATCTACCATTTTTAGCTTTTTCTTATCTTCAATAGTCTCCATGTTTATTATCTTAATTATTTCTTCATGTAGGGAGATTCATTTTTCGTCTGAATCCATGATTTTTTTTGTATGCTTGGATTATATCATTGTCATCATACTCATAATTATACATGTTAAGGTGATTAATAAATCACCATTCAAGGGCTTCAGAATTTCCACATAGGACAAGTGTTCCAAGGAATTTGATTTCTCTAAGGTAATAAAATGAAACTCATCTTTAATCTCCCAGTTTTCTAATGTAATTCCAAGAGTGTCAACTGAGATCTATGCACGAGACGTTTTAATTAGTTAGAGCAATCATTACGATGATTGGTTTATTTAGGACTTCAAACGATATTGGGAAAGTGTTTATTAGGTGAGGAATTTCTTGGCATTCAACCTCCTTTTTCCTTACAAAGTTTACTTGTTCCCTTAGCTGTTCTTCTAAAGGAGGTTCATACGCTAATCCTTGATGTTTGTGATTCTCGGGTAATTTAATCAGGGATTTGATGCCTTGGAGGTGTGCACCTAGTCCTTTCCTTAATCAAAACCACTCCTTTCCATTATCTTAGTTGTAATGGAGTTGACATTCATATTACCCTTCATTTTTCAACTTCAAATTCTTAGAATGATTCACAAATTATATTTTTCCACTCCTTCTTGTTTTTTGTTTTTTTTAAAGTATTTCCCTCCCCACGGATCCTTATTGTATCTCATAGGAATGGAATCAAACCATAAATCTTAGGTGACTGGGCCACTCCATGATTAGGGATAAAAAACATCTATGTTAACCAGTCCAAGCCTATTATTAATTATTTTAGTGATATACAAAAATATCAATAACGTGCACAAAAAGATTTAGTGTACTTTATACAATATGATAGTCTAATAGGTTTAGGAACCCTTCAACTTAAGGGAAGGTACTAGTCCAAATACCTTTATTATGGCGTATTTTAAGTGTAATGATATTAAAAAAAGGCCACTGTGGTTTACAATTTGTTACTCCTAATCTAGGAATTTTAATGTAAAAAAAATAATGCATGAAGAAAAGTATATTCTCCTCGTGCCTTATAAGAGGCATGTCCTAAGGTAAGGGGATCATATATTGGCTCTTATAGTGGCTATTAGATTCATGTAACGTGAAAAGTTCTTAAGATAGATCTAATATATCCTAAACAAGGTCCCCAAGCCTCTCCCACTAGAGAGATGAAAAATCTACTCAACTAATTTAGTCCTATGAGAGTTTAATAACCTTTGAGGATTAAATTTGTTAAATAGATATCAACTTAGGTGAAGTATTCATGATAACTTCAGGGAACTTAAGAGTCCCTTAGGGAAATCGTTACTAACTTTTACTAACCTAGGGTACTTCCAGACCCGGGTATAGGGCCCAACATGTGTGTGAGGTTGGATGTGTGAGTGCTCAGTGTGTGTGAAGTATACACAAATATGTTAACCAAGAAACTACAAGATATCACGAAAGTTAAATTATATGATCAAGAGAATAAAGAATGAAAAAAAAAGTTTAAATAAAAAATTAAAAAAGGATAATTTAAATAAAAAAAGGCCAAATAAATTCACACAATTAACTTGAACAAGCTTGACTCTTTTAGTGTCCCCAGTGGATTCGCCAAACTGTTGTGCCTAATCTGGATTTCCCAAGAAGAAAAATTGGATAACAAATAAATGTTTTGGAGTTGTCACCAAAATTTTACAAGTAATTTTGAAAACCTTTTTAAATGCGTGGTCTAACATAGAGAAAAGGATAAGGGAGTCGATTATATACAGGAAAGGTGTTAGACACTTCATAACACCCATTCATGTGAATGGTTACCTTAAATTAACTATATAAATTTAAATGGCCTTAAAATATATTAATTATCCTTAAAAATAAGATAAAAAAGATTAGAAAATTAAAAAGAAAAATTTTATTTATTTATAAGTTAGACTTGACCTAGAATAAAACCCTAGGGCCTGCGTACTCTTTTGAGATATCAAAGTTCACATAGTTCGAGGTAAAAATGCTTATCAGTTGGTTGGAAATTTTTTTAAGAAAAAATTAATTATTAATTTTTTTATAAAATAATTTT